GGTGTCGACGATCGTGCACGTCGACGGGATGCTGCCGAAGGCCGACGTCGTCCGCCACATCGACGCTTCGATCGAGAATGCTGCGAAGAACGCGCTTGCCGTAACAGGACAATTGTCCGAGGCGGACTTGAAACAGGCCAAGAATGCAGTACTACGGCATGCGCCAGCCGCAACTTTGCCACCGCCAGCAGCAGCGCTTGCAACTGTGGCCGTTCTAGGACCTCCTGGAGCAGGAAAAACGCACTATAGCCAGTGGCTTCGCGAGCACTTGGGCATTGTTCATCTCAGCATCGGCGAGATGTTGCGTCGGTCCATCAAAGGTGGGACCCGTGTTGGCACCAAGGCCAAAGAATACGTGGACGCAGGGGACGTCGTGCCCGATGTGCTCATCATCGGGACTACGATGGAGCTGCTTCGGGGTCGCGAGTGCGCGACCAAGGGTTGGGTGCTCGATGGCTTCCCTCGCACAACAGGACAAGTGAAGGCATTGGTCGAGCACGCGGTCATGCCAAGTCTCGTCATTGTCCTCGATGTCGTCGACGACAGCGATGCCATCCACCGCATCACAGGACGACGAGTCGATTCGGCGACCGGACACACCTATCACGCGATATATGACCCCCCGCCGCCTGGAGTGGACGTCGAGTTGCGATCGGATGACACGGAGCGTGCCGTGCGCGCTAGGTTGGCGCAATATCGTGCCCACAGCGCCGAAATGGAAGCCCTCTTAGTACAGCACACGAGAGTAGTGCATGTCGATGGTTGCTTGAACAAGACGCACGTTCAAGCCACCTTGCAGCGACTCTTTCCATCGTCGCCAACGAAAAAGCCCAAACAGCCGTCGGGGCTGCGACCACCACGAACATTCAGCCACAACCCAAACCAGACTGCGTCTGCAGCTCGAAAGAAGGGAGCGTCGAGCCCTAGGCCCTTCAAGACGGTGTCGCAACTCCACCCAGCTGTTGTCGCTGCGTATTCGCCGCCAAAAGACCACCACCAAACGTCCGACTGCAAGGGGACGTCGGCCAAACGAACGCGTGATAGTGGCGTCCATACCAAGATCGTCGCCACGGACAACGAAATCCAAGCGGCGCTGGCAGTGCTGCACGAAGTCCAAGAAGAGAATCTCCGGCTAAAGCAACTCTTCGTGACCACCAGTAAAGACTCCACGGGGCATTCCTCCCAGGACGGAGTGATGGCCAAAACGTGTAGCCACCGTGAGCTCGACATGGTCATCGACCAGCTCATGTCCGAACACAAGAGCCTAGAAAAAGTCACAAAGCGACAAAAAGACAGCATTGACTCGAACGAGTGGGAGACGCTGCTGCAGCGCACCATGACTGACCTGGACACGATGCGGAAAAAGATCCACGCGTTGAAACGTCAGCAGCCCCCAACCGCGACTCCCACCGACGACGAAGCCACTCTCAAGGCAGCACAACTTCGCCACGACCAGCTCAAGGCCACATGGAGACAGCTCAACCAACCCGCGTCGGTCAACGCGTCCGAGAAGGAAAACGCCAAGGTGAAGCTCCTCAAAAAGGAAATGGCACTGGCCCGAACCGACGAAGCGTACTACATGCAGAAAGCCATCCACGTCCAAGCGACGACGACCCATGAAATCCAGCGGATGCAACGGGAAATTGCTCGACTGCAAGAGGCGATTGCGACGACCCAAATCCAGTTGGACGCGAGCACGACAGAGTGCAGCGACTTGCAGCGACAGGTGGCTGCGAAAAACGGGACCTTCTTACCGAAACTGCCCCATGCGAAGGCCATACAAGGTATTGCGTCCAAGGGAGGAGGGTTCCAGTCGAGCCTCCCCCTCATTACAACGAAGAAACCTCACACAGGGGGCGGAACTCCCTCGAAGAGGGTCGAGATGCCGCCGCTACATCGCACCGCACGAGATAAGTAACGACGCTTCAAAAGCTGGCATTACAGTTTTGGGAACATCATATGCCCCGATGCAAGATCTCGACCACGTCCTGCAGCTCTCGACTTAGCCACGGATCGGTGTCAAAATCGTCTTCTGGCGGCGGCAATGGTGGCGACCCACTGAGTTGAGCCAGCGAGTCCAGCGTGACCGACGCTTCGGGTTGAACTCGAGCAGGCGGTGCTTCCGACGTGGCGGACGGAGGAGTGCATGCAGTGAGTGACGACGTGGCAGCAATAGGGGATGGAGCGGACGAGGACACATGGACCGTTGGCGTCGAGGCAGGGAAAGCGGCGTCGCGACACATGGACTCGGCTCGAGCGAGCAACAGATAATACAGTGTGGACAAGCCGTTGTATCGCTTTTCAGTCAGCGCAGTCGTCACCATGCTGCGTGGAAGGCCCAAGTGTTCGATGTGATCGAGCAGTTGGTGTTGGAGGACAGAGCGGACGGTATCAGCGAGGAGGTCCAGGCTTAGCTGCCGGTAGAGGGGCAAGTGTTGATGACGAGCGGTGTGAAATTTGCGTGTCCATGCATGGTTGCGAACGTCGTGGAGTTGAAGCCTCTACAATGGCCAGGGCAAACGAGACAAGTCAAGGGCACGTTGGACAAGTGGGATGCGGCATACCTTGCTCGGGTCGCCCTCTAGCATTCCCCGCAGCAACGCGTGGGCGTCTGGAGTGACAAATCCAGGAATGTCGAAGCCTCCCTTCACGATCTTCCGGTACAAATCGTTGTAGTTGCGCGCTCGAAAAGGAAAGTACCCACACAACATGGCAAAGAGGAGCACGCCGAGGCTCCACACGTCGACGGGCTGGCCCCAGTACGTTTTACGGTGGATGATTTCAGGTGCCATGTAACATGGGGTCCCGCAGAACGTCGAGAATGGCTTGGAAGTGGTCTGAACTGCGCTGAAGCCAAAGTCCACGAGCTTGGTGTTGCCATACCGATCCAAGAGTATGTTCTCGAGCTTGATATCGCGATGCACAAGCTGCATGCTGTGCATGTACATCACTGCAGATAGGACTTGCATGAAGAGCAGACCGGCGTCGTCTTCGGCCAGCCGCTTCTGTCGCTTGACAAATTCGCACAAGTTTCCCACATCGCTGCTGACGTTCTCCATGACAATGTGAAGCTTCGTCGGCGTTTCGATCGTTTCAAACAGTCGAATGATGTATCTATGGACAAGGACATCAGCAGTGGCTCGCTCTAGCTCGGACGCACGGATGATCAAGCTTCTCCATCAGCTTTGCCTCGTACTGAATGCGCTTCCACTGCCCCGCATCTTTCGTGCGGCTCCTCTCGTACGACTTGATTGCGACCACCTGGCTTGACACTTTATGCGTGGCGACACGCACTTTTCCGAACGTGCCAACGCCGACGACTTTGCCAAGGACATATCCATCCAATGTCGTGGACTGGCCATTGCCGTCGTTCATCATGCCAAAACAGATCTCGTCGCGCTCCGGTCGGTTTGCTGGCTTTGTCACGATTGCCGCGAGGGCATTCGTGATGGCTGCAATGGAAATCACTTCGTGCTCGACCGCTTGAAATTTGCATCGAGGCAGGTGGTGCTGTCGCTGGTTGTTGTTGCTGCTATTGTTGAGGTTGGACGACGGTGGTTGCGGTTGCATCGGCTCCTTTAACGGCCTGACAGCGCGCTTGACACTGCTGGCACTTTTACATCGCCCCCGAGGTTGTATCTACATGCTCACGGTGTCACAGACGAAAGCAGAGGCAGATCACCTTGTCTGGAGGAAGAACGGCATTTGATGTTGGATATCCGCTCGCGAACGCCTCAGCTCGCTGGGCAGCCAGCTCATACGCTTTGTTTTCTGCAAGTAATCGAGCACAGACAAGGGCGTGTTGGAGCTTCTTGCTGCCAGATCCGTTTGCCGTTCTTGGCCGACTCAACTCGGGCTGTTGTGGTGGCGGAAATGGTTTTATAGGCTTGGACCATCTCGCAACCTATCGACAAAAGAGATCCATCAACCCCACCTTCTTTTTTGTTCTGGATTGTTCAAGTACAGCGCAAGATGGGTCGGCTCCATGCTCCCGCTTGAGGTTAGTCAGCATGCGCGGCCGCAGCCCTGGCGCCGAACCTTGCCTACGCAACGTATCAGTGAGCCGGCCAAGCTGTCTTGAACGCCACGCATCGATCCTACCGAGCGGTGCGCAGCGGGACATACTGCTTGATAGGATGCCTGGTTATTACGACCCGTGATGGCGCCGCGTCGGCCATCGTGTGGTTTTTCAGTGAAAACAACCAATCTATTTTTAGCATACTTGGAAATTTCCGGACACAACGGCGACTATCCGGATAACGGCGTCCTGGATGCGGCGATGAACGCCGCCGATTCCGACAGGAGCCGTCAGGCGCGGCTTCAGATGAAGCGCGAACGAACGGCCCAGGCAAGATCTACGGAGCGGTTGTACGACAATTGGGGCTGTTTCACCAGCCCCATCAAGCCCTTGCCCAATGAGTTGCAGAATGCTCACGGGTTTGGATGTACGACGTGACATTGAATGCATTCGGCTTGACATGTTGGGGATATGTCTAGCGTCGGTGGAACGAGACGCGCTAAGTACTATCGATCTCTCGGTACGCGTCGGCGCCATGCGGCTTGACACGTCTGACGTGTCCACTGTCTCGCAGGCGCCAGACTACCCTGGTCCTGGTCAGTACCCGACCAACGAGATTATCACGGCCTTCAAGATAGACAAAGACTACTCAATTCAACGTACGAACGATGCGTAGGATGTTATTTGAGGGGTGCTGAGGTCACCTGCAGGCATCCCCCACGAACGGCCACGGCCCGAGACGCCTGGGCCAGGCCACTACACGTCCAACTACGGCGCTGTGCTGTCGTCCCAAACCTTTGATGACTATTTTCGGTACAATGACGAGGGCGTCTCCACGTTGGAGAGGCTGTCACGAGCGGGGCGTGTGTAGAACTGCGCCGCTGAAGAACTTATCGACCAGCCAAGTCAAGATCAAGCAAATCACGCGTGAAATCAAACAACTCAAATACAAAAAGGCTCTGGCGTTGCCAAGCTTGCCCGTCGAGAAGCAAAAAGCAATGTGCAAGGAAACATACGAGCGTGTCCAAGCCTTGTTGCAGGAAAGGAGCGCACTCGAGGACGACGAAGCCGAGGCACACCAGCACAGGAACGCCCAGAAAACGTATACCCCTTCTAGGTAAGCCCATAGACTGTCGTCCAAGGTCTCCATTTCCCGCAACCCAGGAGGAAAACTGCGCGTGTTTTGGCTTCTCACGACGAGGTATGCGGGGTGCTCTTTCCATTGCGGTTCCTGTGTGATGCGACTCGAGCAGATGACACGACCCAAGAGCGTTCCATTCTTGCACAATGAGAAGCGATTCTTCGACGCCATCGACAACACCCACACCAAATACGACACGCCCATGCCAGGCCACTGCCAGCGGCTGGACACATACTCAACGTTCGAGAAATCCCCACGGTATGGATATCGTACGCCTTTGGTGGTGCTCTCATCTGACCGTTTGGGCGTCATCATGAAACCAGACTGCCGACCATTCCCAAGGGAAATCCACCCGACGTCGTGCCATTCCATGATGGCTGTAAGTGAAGTTCACCCGCGTTATGCAGTAGTTAGCGGTCACGTGTACTGGTGGTGATGGCAGATGTGTATGCGTCGAAATCCAACTCGAGCCGCGGCACCGGACCAGGGGCGTATATGCCAGACATGGCGGCATCCCATGACGCAGCCAAATCATCCCAGCCACCACGGGCGCTGCCTGTTGGGCGGCAGATCAAATCCGGGCCACAGCTCACGCTGCAGCTCTTCCACCATTCGACCAACACCAAGCTCCCTGCATCGCAATACCTTGCCGAAATCAGCAAAGATAGGTTGCGCAAGCACATGCAGACCGCACGACAACTCGAAATCGATCTCGTCCGGCAGCTGGACGACGACCCATCATCCACGTCCAAATCATAAACGACACGATGCATTTGTCACGTAATAATCGCATGTGTTTGTGAGAGTTAAGCATCGCACGCGAGAACGGACGATGTGCAAGTGGAGGAGTAAAAGACGATTTTGGCTGAGAACGAGCGGGTGCGGATGGCCACGGATCGCTCTCCAGGGTGCAACTGCCGTCGCAAACATAGTTTCACTAGCACGACAACAAAATCCATACATTCGCCACGTGACTGCAGCACCCCCGAGTGACTCGTTCGCGACGACCCCATCGACTGCGGCGACGCAATGAACCTTGCTAATTGGTACTCGTGTTTATGCTGACGATGTCGTGACCCGGCAAGCATGTTATGTGGACCGAAGACCCCAGTGGCTTGAAACAGATGATTGCGCCGAGTCGATTGTTCGGTGCGATTTCGCTTACGAGGCGCGCTGGGGTCTTGGCCCCACATCCATCCATATAACTACGCACGCGTTGTCGGCAGAGGCAGTACGCGGACGAGACGTCCTTCCTTCCCCGTTGAAAAAATGATCAAGGCATATATGCTGTCAGTAGACGGTGTTGGCAATGGATGTCCGTCGCTGGTGGCTTTTTCCTTAGACGGTGTGGCAGCACCACGCGAGAATGCCATGTGCTTGTCGGATGTCGTCTTGTGTGCAGCCATGGCTTTTTCTTTCCAATCAAAGCCGCTCGGCTCGTAAAGACGATGGCTGCTCGAAAATTTCACTACTTTGTGTCAGGACTGACGTCCACCGCGTCGTACGGGGGTCCATCTGGCAAGTTTGACCACATCGCTTGCTTTGACCTCCAAACAGTTCTTGCCGTTCTCGGAGACGCACTCAGTCGCAGTCTGCACTTCCACCGCATCATCGTAATGTAGCGCATTCGTCTGGCTTGCCTCCGATTCTCAACAAACAGGTTGCTTTGTGCGCCATTCCAACTTGTCTTGGACGACAGCCACAGGCTGCAGGACGCAACGAAGTCGACGCTGAACGCGCGAGAGTGCTGAGCTCCTCATGCGTGCGAGCTCATAACTATCCATGACGTTTTCCATCGAAGTGAACCTCGCACTGTGTTGACAAACGAAAAACCGCCCGACATCATCCGGTTGTATCCGGAAGGGATTGCTGAAGATCCGGAGTGCTCATGCTTTCGATCAAACCAACGACTGTATTCCACTCTTATGGGAGCTCTCGCCTTCTCGATAGCCAAGGATAATGTCCATCTCATCGTCGCGCCGCCGCCGATGCACATTGCGTCCAGGGACGAGCCAATGCCACTGAAACATGTCGTTGCCAAAGAGGATTCCGAGGTGGCGACTGAGCTTGGAGCCATGCTCCCGAGACTCTTGCAAACTGGACAGGTCAGATGCAATAGCACCGTAGATTTCGTCCTCTGAGATGCTGAAGATTTCCATGGCCAGCATGAGCGAACACAACACCAAGAACAAACTGGACACCGCGAGCACCCACATTCCAGCCCGACCAGGACTCGCACCAGCTTTCAAACCACAGACGATCGGTGCAGTGCACGTCCAGAGCTGCAATACGGTCACGACAATCATGGCGGCGCAAAGCATGGCGACGTACAGAAGCAGCAGGATGAAGTTCTTTGCGTTGCCAATTCCAATGCAATTGTTCACCCACGGACTAGGATTGCGCCGAAGTGAACGACGATCTGATAGTTGAATATTCACGTACCAGTGGTGGTCCATAAGCACCACACAGCTTTGACATGTATGACAGTGCTCAGCTCTACTCAGTTTAGGAACGTGAATTCAACCAGAGCTAGGACCGTGAGCACGGCAAAGTTACCGCTTGGGGTGAAGTGCGTCGCACGTTTCGCAGTAGACAAATTCATTGGCTTTCGGCTCACCAAGTGTCTTTTCGTCCACCGGACTCAGCTGGGATATCCGCATGCTCTTTGGAATCGTGCCTGGGTTTGTCGTCATTGTGTACCAATGCGACGACAGTGCCCACCCGCTCATGACAAGGAGCATAATCTGGAAGGAGACTCCAGCGACAGTTGCTCCAAGCCACTCGGAAAGGTTGTACATGCACGCAAGTACACATGCCAGCATGCAGCCCAGGCCCATGAACGACACAGCGATGCCAGCGTCCCAGACAAACCACATTGCTCGCGGTGCTGAAAAATCCAAGTATTCCGGATAAACAGGGTGATTCGGATAGTGGAAATCGCCATCCAAAACAAAAAAAGGCGGCGGTTTCGTCCTGATGGCTAAATTTGAGCGGGTCGGCGGAAGTTTCAACGCCGGCAGTTGAACGCATTCCAGAAAACCATGAGCGAGGCGATAGTTTCAACTCCCGCGGGGCCAGCCGCCACAGGCATCGTCAAGGCAAACTCGATCTCGACCATCACGGACACGTTCGGCAAACAGAGCACAGGGAAATCCAACGATGCCACCAAGGACGCGGAGCTGTCGACGGGATCGCCGCTGCCCACGTCCATCTACGTCAAAATGGGAGATACAATTCAGCTAGCAGCCAAGGCGCAGGAGGGGGAACTTGGCCGAGTACGTTTCATCGTCGATCCTGCCATCAAGCAAACGCTGCTGGTGGTGCCCCCTATTCAAGAAGGCACTTCAAGCGAACTGGCCACGTTTACCATGTACGTCGGCGTATTCACAAATGCATAGACGCATGGAGGCACATTCTGTTGTACGTAGTGCCCCCGTGGGCGGTGCCGAAGTCGGCAGCGAGCTGAGCTACAACCAGCTCTTCACGCTGCAAATTGCCGGGGCGAATGGGGCGGCTGTCAAGTCTTTAAACAGCAATCCGCCTGGGATGTCGGACGGCATTGGGCTGCAGGAGCCAGGCATCAAGGGTGAAATGACGTTCATGTTTAAAGGGAAAGACACGTCCAAGATCCAATTCAACGACGCGAACCTCGTCCTGACGTGCCATGACGCGAACCGCACGCGAAAGAACTTCAACAACGTCGTGACATTCATCAAGAAGTCCAAAACGGCTGGCCACGGGGGCTTCCTCACGACGGCGAAGAAGGGCCCGGCCATCACGTTCACCGTGACACGCCCCAACGTTGTGCCTGCCGTTCGGGTACAACACTACTGTTGTTCTGTCGGTGTTGCCGAGTGTTGTTCACGCGAGTTTCATAGCTGACATACCGCGAAGTCAGCGATGGCGAATCGGACATGATTCGAAGCGAAGCGGCATCGGTTGTGGTGTCTGAAGTCACAAAGCCCACCGACTCGTTCACGGCAGCAGTCATGTCCCCCCTTCCCCCAACGCCCACGGAGTCGTTCTCAGGACTCGACGGTAGCAATGCTGTGACGTTGCCATACGTCCCCCCGACACTCCCCCCTCCTTCTCCGTCTAAGCGCGCTTCGCTTGCTGTGCCGTCCACTCTGGTGAAGGTGGCTACGTCGGCCCTTGTCGAAACGACCAGCTCTCCTACCCACCCTGTCGCCCACACCACTGTAAAGCAGAGCAGCAACGACGACGGCGATGTTGTTGTCGTACGCAATACGTCCCCCGCTGTCCAAGACTCCAAGTCTGTGGACGCCTCGCCTGGGGGTCCCCAAACCGAGCACAAAGCGAAGGCCGCCCCCGTCAACACGTGGAAGCTCTCGTCGACTCAAGCGAACGACGACGACGACACCATTGCGCGGGACGACGTCGAGGGAGCTCCCCCTTCAGCCTGCGCGCACTGCACACTTCAGTAGCGAGGTTGTCGAGCATGCCCCGCGTATTTTCTGCATTGTATTCGACAAATTGATGTGCATCCTCGAAAGGTGTGGTTGGATCGGTTACACATTCCAATCGTGGTCGCGGTTTCACGTGAAACCGTCCGAGTCGTCGCACATGGCAGGACGCAGCGATACCATCGCTAGAGTATTTTTGAATGAGTAGTCTGAGCTGCAGCGACCTCGGTACGTTGCCGGGTTTCGGACAAGCGTTGAACCGATGCATGATGTGTCTAGCGGCGGACAAGAGGTCGGTAGCGCGTGGAGCGTCCATCGTCCCAAGCTCCCGCCGACCTGGCGCGAATACAGCAGCACTCGACGAGCTCCTTAAAGTGAGCGACACGCTGCTCAAGGTGACGCCGCACCCGCCGTCCACAGCCAATGTAGATGCAAAACCAACCAAATGGCTTGGCGAGTCGTCGCAAGATCTGTGTGAAATCCAGCAGTCCGTCGATCGGCTCAAGTTGCAGAGATTACAAGTGCGTACCGCGTGGAGTCACAAGACATATCGATCTGACGTCACGGGTATGGGCAGGTTGAGCACATCCGCAATGACAACGAGCGCCTCGAGGCCGAGTTGCACCAAAAGATCGTTGAGATTGGAGAGCTTCGGGTGGAGGTGCTTGGTCAAGTCACATCCTGGCCCCACATTCGACTTTGAATAGTTGGAACATCTTCAAGACGTCGAAGCCGACAACGAACGCCTTCGGAGTCGCGTCCTACAGGTGGAGGGAAAGTTGGAGCGGCTGGACGCTGCATTTCGAGACCAGCGCCAAGAACTCGAGGACGCTCTAGACACGCGCGTCGCCCTCGAATCGAGATGGCGGGAAGCGGCTGAAACACTGCAAAAGGCGGTGGACGAGACGACTCGAACGTACCAAGGCAAACTCAAAACGATGGAAGAGGACCTGGAAAAGCGAGCGGCCAAGATCGTACGTTTGGAAGAGGCGATCGAAGAGACAAAAGCTGTGGCGGACCACCGGGAAAGCAAACTCGAGCACAAGATCTCGCAGGTTGAAGCGATGAACGTGGCGCTGGAGAAGCAGACTGCGACGGGCAATGCTTCGTGGGAGGCAGAGAGAGCTCGCCTCCTCAACGAGTTGGCGAATGCCGAGAAAAAGGTACATGAGCACACACATGGTCGATCGAATCTCAAGTCGTCCATGCACAGATCGCGGCACTCGTTGCCACGACGGCTCGACAAACGACCATGATCCACGAATGCGATCGAGCGATCGCCGACTCGGAGGTTCACGGCCCCTTCGTCAGTATCTACTGACGCGTGGATGTTCAAAGGACCGAATGACAAAGTTCCTCAAGCGGAAAACCTCCATGAACAAAGCACAGGCGGAGTTGGAGGCCACAATCCAAGCGTTGGAAGGCCAAATTCAGCTGCAGCAAGCCGAATCGGCTCATCAAGCACAGACGCTGCAGGCGCTGCTCCACGTACGACATGCTCGTGGCAGTCATCAACGGAAAAACCCTGACGCATCGGCGGGGGTGACGTAGGGACTGGAAACGAAATGCGATGAAAAAGACAAAAAAGTGATCGAGTTGACGGCGTTGGTGGCGACGATCGACCAGCGGTGCGGGTTGATTTGGTGCGACGACCGCCCCCTTTTCTCACCCTCGCTCGTACCGATAGAAATGAATCCAACCACCAAGAGCATGTGAAACGCGAGCGCCATCGATTTTACTTGGACGAGGTTGTCGGCCGCTGTGACTATTCATGCATTAACTCGGGGGATGTTCATGCGCAGCAAAACAAGGCGCTGCTGAAGCGCGAAAAGAAGATGCAAGGCGACATGACAGAGCTGAGCATGGCACTGCGGGTACACCATCTCGATGCAACGTTGAACTCGCCGACAAGTCGACTCCGCAGGACATGGCCGACGAGAAGCGGGTGCTCGAAGACAAGGTCAAGTCGCTGCTCGGTACGTATCGACATGACATTTTGCACAACCCACACACGTGGCGCATCGTCTATCCGTGTATCGGTAGCCCAACTCGAACTCGAACGAGAAGATCGTACAAAATGGGCGAGTTCGCGTATGAAGCTTCTGGCGCAGTTTTGTGACGAAGAGAACAAGCTGACGTCGTCGCTCAACGCGCACGTGTCGTCGGCTTACAACCACCGCAAGTGAGCGCTGCCACGTCATGGGCGATTTGTGCTACCGCCGCCACCTCCCCGAGGATCGCATCTCGTTAGGATAATCCCGATCCATGCATCGAGTGTGACGCAAAACACCACGTTTTATTTATCACAGCCCAAAGACGTGGCCGTCCGCGACGACAATCGCGCGTAGCCGAACGAATCGTTCGTGACAAGCAAAGGTAACTTCCGTGAGCATTGTCCTTGCCCGCATCGCCAGTCTTGTCAGCATCCCCCACGAACGGATTCAAAGAGACTCGACTTGCCAAGAGCGTCCTTCTTGACTAGACCGATCCAGGGGCGGTTGTGAATGTGTACAACAAGTATGGGCCTTCGATCTCAAAGCCAATGCGCTGATACGCCTTGTTCGACGCTGGGTTGGCCGCGTCAGCAAAAAGACAGATGCGAGCGGTCTGCGACGAGTTGGATTCTCGCAAGTGCTGGCTCAGAGCGGCCGTAAGAGCCGACGCGTAGCCCTTGCAGCGCTCCGTTGGCGTAATAAAGACGGACCCGATGCGGTACACGGTTTCGCCATCGACTTCGACGGCGGGAGCGTAGCTGGCAAACCCCACGGGCTTCCCGTCAACCTCCCATATGAACATCGAGTGTCGCTTGAGTCTACTTGCGACAAACGTCGGTGCTTCATGGGCAGATGATCCCATGTATGCAAAGAACTCGGAAGCCCAACCTGTGAGCAACATCGCATCCGTGTTGCCACTCGCGACTCGCATGTTGCCGGCAACGTTCGACGAGGACGGCGGCCGGAGATCCCGCAGAGAGTACAAAAGCAGCTCGTGTTTCAGCACGGCTGAAGTCGGCGTCAATCGATGGCGGCAGTAGCTGCCATTAAAAGCGAGGGTGGCGGCGTGTGCACCTCGCACTTCTTCGAGTACCGTGTCGATCGTGGTTGCGACGAGTTTGCCCAAGGCCGTGGCTTCGTCGGTCGACATGTTGGGGCTCAATAGGAGGCCACTGGAGCAGCTATACAATGCGAACGACGTCACCCTGACATCTTGTCCAGTGCGATCGCTGCCGTCGGAGGCTGTCGCAACAAAGTACCGATGGTTGTCGGGAGGGTGGGCTCCCATGACCACTCCGATGGCGATGCTGGCAATCTTGTTGGTGCCAATTCGATCGAGCTTCCGCAGGGACAGCGTGACGTCGAGAAAGACGCTGGGGTCGGCAACGCTCTGAAAGGTCGACCTGGTCCGTACCATCGCACACCCCGGCGGCAGATCGCGCAGTCCATTTCAGCCGGCCCACGTGACTTTAGTTCAACATTCTGAACCCAAGAACGTTCTTGGACTGTTCCGCATGGCGTGAAATGAGTTTGCCATTTCGTCCGAAGGCACCCCAACGCCTCCTCCATCTGCCCGGGGTGGATCTGCGGCGGTGGGCAATCGTCGGTGTTTGAGCTGTTCCAGTGCTTGATACGTCGTGGATCAACTGTGCTTGGACCAAGTCCTTTTGTCGTACGTTGCCCTTGATGACTGGATGTCGAGAGGGGGAGTGGAGAAGGTCAAGGCTGTGAAATTCCGAGCGGGGAGTCGAAGCCACAACCATGGGGATGACAAGCCGCCGATGCTCTACCACAACTAGCGGATCTCGGCGGCATCTCCATTGCTCCGTCGCGGCGAATGGCGCTACCTCCACTGACTTGCCATGCAGAGACGACCACCAGATCTTACACCTCGTGGATTAGCTACGTGGTGGATTCAAAAGAGGACAACTTATACTTGCTATGCAACGCAAATCCAATGCGCTGATACGCCTTGTTCGACGCTGGGTTGGCCGCGTCAGCAAAAAGACAGACGCGAGCGGTCTGCGACGGGTTGGATGCTCGCAC